GCAGAAACACAGAAATCAGAGAGAGAGACAGAGTGCTCAAAGGTTACAACGTATTTCTAAGAGTATTAAAAGCCAGACTTACGTTTTCCTAACGCTGCCAGAGCAGACAACACAATGGTGACGATGTAGAAAATCACTGCCAGCACTATGGCAATGGCAAGAGTGATGTGGTGTTTTGCCATTTTTAGTAAGCCAGTTTCTATAAAACAGAAGAATTATAATTGAAGACAAATTATAACAAGTTTCTAAATTTCATATTAACAATTTGCCATCAGTATTACATGTCACTAATCAGAAGAAGCCATGACGTACCGTTTAATGTCTTTTCTTGACTGAAAGCACTGGAAGACTGCTGTGTGGGGTGGGCTTTTCTTTTTTACATAAATAGAAGCTGGTTTTGTAACAGTGGAGCTTTTATAGCCATGTAGCACGTGTACATGTTTGACGTCCTCCACATGTCCTCTGTTTTCGGCTGATTAACTGAACAAAAAAGGAGGAAAACAATCCTGTTGCCAAACTCACTCAGCTTTATAACCATCTTCCATAACTTTAAACATATATAAGAGCTGGACTTTGCCCCAGCAGTCGTGTTTAGTAACAAGTTTTTATCGCAGACTCGTATCAGCAGCAGGTGAGACCAGGGAATGAAGAGCCAAAGGATTATATCAGCTTTAAGCAACTTAACCCTCACAGTTATGAAATGTTGGGTAGCTGCCAGCTGGAGATCTATGTATCCCAATCCTAAAACTTCTACGGGTAAATGAGAAGAGCCAATGATATGTTTGTTAATGACTGACAGGCAAAATAAATCAGCTAGGATTATATAGAGCTGGAGTGCACATGAAAACAGAAGGTCATGTATGATCACGCACATACACAGAAGGCCACACACACCATATCAGAGCAAGACTTTACTAGAAACACATGTAAAATGCTGCACTGAGTTAAGAGCTTGTGATCACCTGTTTGGTCAATTTTCGTTTCTTTCAGCTGTTTTGTTTCTTATTTGAATCA